CTCTCTCTCTCTCTCTCTCTCTCTCTCTCTCTCTCTCTCTCTCTCTCTCTCTCTCTCTCTCTCTCTCTCTTTCTCTCTAATGAGATAAGATGTTTTAGCTTGTAAAATAATAGAGACACATATATATAGAATGAATGAGATGTGAGATAGAACGAAAGAGAGAGAGAGAGAGAGAAACTGACAAAGACAAAGAGAGGCTGATACACGTCATCACAAAAGGGAACTTGAAGCCACAGGAGAGTCTAATTTGAGTACGCCATTGCTTGAGCTTTCGAGAGACAAACGAGACACTCGACAACCGAGAAAGCGGAAAACTTTCTAATTCGATTTAACAAGTTTTCCTAAAACAAGTGAGTGAGTGAGAGAGAAAAGAGAGAGAGAGAGAAAGAGAAAGAGATGAATAGAGATAAATAGATAAATAAGTAGATAGTAAAGATAGATAAGTAGATAGATAGATAGAATGGTAGATAGAAATAAAAAAAAAAAGGAACATGATTTTTCCTTGATTATAAAAGAATCTTCATTATTTCTTTTAATACGAAATCATTCGTATTGTTTCCTTGTATTCTATCAATATTATACAAAATTGTGTGTTGGAGAACACAGAATATCGTTATTGGTTGCCATAGTCTCGTTTATGGCGTTTAGATATCATGTTTCCAACATTTCCTACCAGATGAGAGAGTAAGAGAGTAAGAGAATAAAAGAGAAAGAGAGAGAGAGAAACTAACGATCGAAGGAGTTTCCTTGTGCGAGGCTCGTTATGCTCGTGCTTTGCTTGTAAAATGAAATTCTCGGCCGTTTGGTTAGCTTAGTATATGCATATATCTATATATATATATATATATATATATATATATGAAGATGTGTATATGCAAAATACTGGAGCGTTAGTATTATTAACGGCTCTCTTGTGTCTAATTCATAAATACCCCTAATACATATTTGATATTTGACAAAAAAGAAGAACACAATTTTTTTTTTTTAATGGTATACGTAAGTCCAATTTGGAAACAAAATATTAAGATTTGTTTCAATTAAGAGAGAATGTGTGAATGATTTCTTTTTATATTGTTAATAACCAAAGATAATACGATAAAATATTCTTATTTGTTATTCTTTCTTTTTATAATAACATTTTTCTCTCTCTCTCTCTCTCTCTCTTTCACTCTCTCTTTTCACTTTTCTTTTTTTTTATATACATAAGCATATTTTGAGCGTAGACCTATCATTACAGTTTGTCTGGAAAACACGAAGATGTCATTGATATTCATGAGATGCGAAACGAGCTTCGCTTCGAAACTAGATCATGTTATACAATGCAAAGTTTGCTTGCGACTGTCTTTCTCGTAATTGCAATGGTAATCGACACTTTATATATATACATATGTATATATATATATATATATATATATATATATATAAGTATATACATAAATTAGTTTGCTTATTAATTTCAATCACGTTTTATAGGATTATCTCTAAATCTTCCAAATTGAATATCATAGTTTCTCTATATATAGCATACATATATATTATATAATTATTAATTGACTTATTTAAACACAAAAAATATTGCATTCTAACAACATTCTTATATATTATACTTCATCACATTCACTTCGTGATAAAATTCGAATAAAACATTTGACGATTGATTTTTTTATTAACAAAAAAGATATTAGAAAAAAAAAGTAAAAAAACCAAAACATTATCAGAAGTTAAAATAAAAGACAAAAGTTTTAACTATTAATATGACGAGTAAAAGAAAGTTGTTAGTAATTTAACTCGTTCGTAACATTATAATGGAATTACTCACAGTTCTTAGTGATGCAGGTGAGTTCCAAGGTGGTGCATTTATATCGATGTCTTGACTCAAGAGTAGGTACGATGATACCAATGGCCAAGCTCGAGTCTTTCTCGTGGTAGCACACAATCGCGTCGCATTCCTTTCCATCTGTAAAATGTACGAGAAAGACGAGTCAGGAACTTTTATATATACTATTATATACATGTTTACATCTCTAGAGACGCGTGCGTGTTTTTTATGTATGTGTATTTATGAACGTTTATGTGGATATACGTTCAACGTACCAGAGTACATATATATATATATATGCGTTGTATTTTGCAATCAGAACAACGTGTGTCATCGTACGCGTCTAATAAAACTTTCCTGAAGAATAAATCTTTTTACCTTATTTTTTTTTTCATTTGTATGTGTGTGTGTGTGTGTGTTTCTTTTTTTTTTTTTTTACTTTACTCGTTCTCCTGACGCATAGTATTATTAGGTTTTTTTCTTTTTCTTGTCAGATTTCTTTTTATATCTTTTTAGGTGGCAATCTTTGATTAATTGTAAAAACACATAACGATTGTAACACGATAACGTATAGTTTTTTATTTATTAATCTGATTTTTGTTTTTTTATTTTCTTTTTCCTATTAATTTTTATAACAAATTTATATTTATTCTCATATAAATGTAATATTTTATTAATATTAGAGAGATAATATAATAGTTTATTATTATACTTTTTACATTTTAAGGACTACAGTATATAAAAATTCAAGAAAATTATTAAACTATTAAACTACTAAGGGCCACCGGCGTTGAATATGCATTTATTCGTTTGAATTCGATTAAATAAAAAATACCGAGATAGTGCAATTGAGGATTGCTTTTTTTGCACGTGCGAGTAGCCTATTGGAGGAATGAAATTATAAAACCAAGTACCATACGAAGATTTCTGTAAAAAATTCGACAAATCTTTCAGATAGGGACAAAAGGGAAAACAAAAATAAAAAATCTAAAAGCATTGAAAAAAAATGTACAATATGTGTTTTTAATAATCCTAATTTCGTAGGTCAACCGATGGATTCTTTCCCCTAATGACATTCGACGTGTTGCAAAACGTTGCACGTGTAAAAACGTTGGCTGCTTCCGTTGGTGGGTTATTTCTTTTCTTTTTCTTTTTTTTCTTCTCCTCTTGCGCATCTATAATAATATTTATCTTTTTATATTTGATTTTTTTGCTTACATTTTTTGTTTTTTTTTTTTTCTTTTTTATTTCTTTTAATACCGGCTCGCGCGTTTCTTTCGCGACGACATGCCATAAAAATAAGCATGCTTCTTTCTCGAGGGATGAATAATGACGCGTTGGAGGCGCGTGAGTCGAATCTTTTTCGAGGAAACGTGCGAACACGAAAGAGTATCCTTCCTCCCTACACCTTAAAAACCCTCTTTCCCTCCTCTCTGCATGATAACTCGGATCATAAATAACGATCCACTTATTTTCTTTTTTTCCTTTATACTATTATATTTCATTTTTTTTTTTGTATGAAATAAAGAAACCAAAAAAAAAGAAAGAAAATAATATAACAAAATGAACAATAAAGTTAGACCACCTATCAACGTTTTTCATCTTAATCGGCATTTTAATATATCGGTTTATTTTTAATTCAAACGTATTAAAGAAAAATAATAAGAGAGAGAGAGAAAGAAAGAAAGAAAAATGAATATTGAAAAGTTATCTACCGATCTTATAGAAATTAAGATTAAAATATGTTAATCTCTCTCTCTCTCGAGTAATAATAAGTTTCGGATGATAAGATAAAGGAAAGAAAACAAAAAATAAATAAATAAAAAGAAAAGAAGAAATATTTTACGCGTACATACATAGTGGTTTGCAAATTTAACGTACAAATAATATAAAAACGGAAACTTGAATTGTTTTCCTTTTTTTTTTCTTTCTTTTTAACGACTATATACATCTATTCAATTATTTCATTTTGAAAGTTGCAGATGGTTATCGATAATCGTGTTCGTGACAAATAATGTATACGACGATTGCTATGGGTTGTTCTTTTGCATGCATTTAATAATTTAAAAAAAAAAACAGAAGAAAAACACAAAAGAAAAGAAAAGAAAAGAAGAAGAGAAGCAAAAAAAGAAAAAGAAAAAAAAAAACTCGAAATAGGAGAAGAGAAAGTTTAAGAAGAAAAAACTTGTGAATAAAATCGCGCGAACCGGATGGATTTGTATTTTTTCTTTCCTGATATCAGCGTGTTCTATCAGTTTTCTAAGTTTTTTTTTCCAAGTAAATACATAAATATTAAATGCATTAGATTTGCATTCGTATATAAGTATATACATAATATAATTGATACACACACACACATACAAACACATATATTCTGAACAGTTGGAATGGAACACGATCGTGAGAACCGGCCTTTGCGAATCGACAAGTAGGAACAAACGGAAAGAAGGGAAAGAATGAAAGAAAGAAGGAAAGAAGAAGGGTGGTGGTGATGATGGTGATGGTGGTGGTGGTGGTGTTGGTGGTGGTGTACGCGAGTTTCCGAGTAATGTCGAGAAAATTGGCGCGTAATTGTCACGATGGCTACAATTCAAGAGACGGCATCTTCTTCGCCATCGCCAACGTCGAGGAAAAGAAAGTCGCTGAAACTTTAATGACGGATGTCACGACGACCCGTCGTGTTCCAAGAATTCCCATAAACGTCCCCAGTATTTTCCAATCGTCCTTTGTTGTCAGAAAAATGGGAAGATAGATAGAGAAAGAGAGAGAAAGAAGGGAAGAGAGAGAAAAAGATAAAGAAAAAGTTAAGTTCTTTTAATATTCACTTATGTGCAATAATAATAATAATAATAATAATAATAATAATGATGATAAAAGATAAAAAGAAACTGTTATATTAAAATAAAATGTTTAGTATTTGGAATAGTATACTTAAAATATAATAAATCATGATTGGCTTTAAATACAATGTAACAAACTTTTATATATATTCTAATTACGACTTATGTACCAAACTATTATATATTTTAAATACGATTTATACAATAATCCCGGAAAAAGTCTAAGATGATGCCAAAAAAAAGTTTAAAAGTTCGTCTTAAGTATTAGTAAAACGAGATCCGGTTGTATATATTTCTCTCCTTTTTTTTTTAATTCTCTCTCTCTCTCTCTTTCTTTCTTTCTTCCTATTTACGGTAACTTTAATCTCACGGCTGACCTGAGAAAGCTCGCACGAATAAAAGTGGAAGGATTGGTTTATAGTTTTGCATCGTGGTGGTATCGCAACTCGACTAGCGTAGTAGAAGAAGAAGAAGGACAAAGAAGGGAAAGAAAAGAAGGGATAGTGGGGAGGAGGAAAGTGGGTGGGTTGGGAGGAAGGGGGCTTGGACAAGGAAAGAAGAATAAGACTAAGAATAAGAATAAGAAGAGGCCATAGGAAAGGATTGTCGGTGCTTCGTGCACGGTAATTAAGAAGCGCAATTAAGGGTCTCGGAGTAAAAAGTGCCGCTGATAATTACCGTCCTTCTCGAGGCGGGCAAATTTGTCGCGAAGGTAAAGCAGCAGAGGTAACCAACAACGGGCATAGAAGGCAACAGCAGAGAGTAGAAGTACCAGGCTCAGGACAGTGATAAGTAAAGGCTTCCTCCATAAATTGCTCGGAAGTTCAAACGTAAATTGTGGCTCTGTAAAAAAAGATCATTGACAAATTATATTAATATAATATGTTTTTTTATAATTTTATAAATTTCAGTAATGTGTGTGTGTTATATTAGACGAAATTGTTTACAAAACAAGGATGCTGAATAGTCAACAAGATTTGAGAACTATTTTGAACACTATATTATATATATATATTTAAAATATTTAACAAATTTTGTTATTCTATTAAAACGATCTGTATACGTACTTCGTATATAATCTTTAACTTTTTTTCTTCTTTTTTTTTATTTATATAGGTTCTTTTTGAACAGAAATAGAAAAGTTTTTTTCAAAAATTGCAAAGAATTGACATCTTATTTTGACATATATATATACTATAATATTTATTTTCTTGTAAATTATTTTTACTTTTTTAATCTATGGTAATATATTCATCCCTAACTTTTATCTTTCTCACTTTCTCTCTCTCTCTCTCTTGTGATAATTCTCGTATAATCGGCCAACGTGTACGCCATTTGCATACGATTATGATTTACAAATATACAACGTTTACGAGCCTAAATCATTGTCTGCGTTTATATGGTTATCTATTATATGCGTTTAAACGTGTATATATGATATACCTAAGTTATATGTGCAAGTATATATAAGATACATAAGATCGGATTAAAGGATGCACAAACTTCGTCAAAGGAATTTACGAGTTTATGTTTACGGGCTCCGTGCGAAATCTACGACGTTAACGTACGCCTTTGATGCGAACGTAAAAGTATTATACCTACAGTCATGTTCAAAACTTGGAAACGTGCATTTATCGTATTATTATAAATTGTACAATATATTTTTCTTTGATTTGATTATTTTTATATGATATAAAATTGAAAATAAATAGAGAATATATTATTTTATCGTTCATTTGGTAATTAAATATATTATCTACAATTTTGTTGTTCTTGTTATTATTATTATTTGTTAAAGATTAAACTATAGTTACCTTTACGATAAATGTGAGCAGGAAAAGCCATAACTTCGTCGAGACCATTGCTAATTTCGCAAACATATTCGCCATAATCCTCCACAGTCATATCTTTGATTTCTAAATAACTACCGATGATTTGATTGTTTTCCCTGCAAACATAATTTTGGTTATTATTCATTAGGATTAGTGATAAATTAATCATTATTTGCATTAATTTGTGCAAAATCGTTTACATGTTAAATATATTAAATATACATTCAATCTAATCGTTTAACATTTCACATAGATTGTTCTATTTAAAGGATAATTGAAAACTTTGAAGAACACAAAGCCAAAAAATATCCATCTGAATTTAAAAACAAATTATTGTTTTTATTTCCTAATATTTCTTTTTTAAATTACGTCAATCCCATTCATTTCAAATTATATAAAATAACTAGTTGTGAGAAACTTATGATTAATCTAAAGATATTATCCATCCAACGTATCCAGTAATAACAATTAAAAATACGTAAAAATGTTATATTAGTAAAAGACAAAAATTTCGTTAAAGATAAAGATAACTTATTATCTTTGGTATACATCGAGGGAGAAGAAAAACGTCGTTTATAAATGAGTAAGGAGTTGATAGATAATAAAATTTCGAAAGAAAACTTTTCTTCTTTCCCCCTCTCTCCCTCCCACTCTTGTTTTTCACTTTTTGCAAGTTTTAAAGAGAAGAAGAGTCTCGTCGAGACACGAAAGAAGAGATTTAAGATGAAGGAGACTCGACGACGTCTGCCTTAGACGTTGTTGAGTGCCGCGAAAGCGAAAGGCAAAGCCAACCCGAGCCTTGGCCGTTCTAAACGATCCCAGATGCCGTTCGAGAGCCATAGTGGTTTCTCTTCCTATGAAACGTGTACCAACCAAGAAGACGAGTTCATCCGATAGACCAGCAAGCAGCTATTAAATACATGCCGTGCACGTTTCCAGGAAATCGAAAGTGCATTGGGGGAGGGGTGGAGAGGTGGGAAGGGAGAATTCATGAGAAATAATCTTTTTCATGATCAAAAGAATTGAACCGAGGAGAATTTATCATTATATAAATAAATATATATATATATATAT